AAAGAAATTGAGAGAGAGTATGTATATATTAATATATTGAATGTTGTATATTACAAATGGTGAGGGGCTCCTTATATAGGAGAAGTTTACAGACAAAAGGATGCATTGCACTATCTGCACTATCTTAAAGCAACCGAAAGCAGCATTATCATTACCTAACATTATTAAGGCATTAAAGCTAAAGCTAACATCATTACAAGCACTAATATAATATACCAAAAGAATGATTCATTTTTTGGAAGCTCCAAATTAACCTTGTTGTGCTCAATATTGCTTAGAAACTCACTTTTCATTGTGTTCAAATCATTAGAAGTTTGGGGATCCACTTTTAAGTACTTTATAGCAGCAAGATTCAATGCATTTATGCCTAGATCTCTGAGTTCTTCAGGTAATTGTTACTCACAGTATTGTTGTTAGTTAGTTGATTCAGAATTTTCCTCCATAATTCTTTTCCTGCTTTTGATTTTCTTCAAAAATTTATTGGAACTATTAAAAATAGAACTTTGTAAACAAGAATTATAATATAGAAGAAATTGCTTAAAGACTAAGCTAATTTAATGAGTGTACACTAAACTATAGGATCAAATAGATTGATGATCCTAAAGTGTGCGTTTCCTTTCACTTGTAATTTTCTTGAAAAATTTCTTGAAATTGTTGAATACGGAGTTTGTAAACAACAATTGTAATATAGAGAAATTGTTCAAAAACTATACTAGACTATATGATAAAATGCATTGACTAGCCTAAATTATGTGTTTCGTGTCGTTTTAGTCTTTTAAGTTTCAATTTTGTAAATTTTATCTCTACATTTTTCTATTTGAGTCAATCTATCTAATTTCAAACGAGCCGTTTCAATTGTTAATTGGATCATTATAAAATTCACCTTTCGTCTGTAAGTATGCATTTTGTGTTACATTGATCTCCAAATTTTTTAATTAGTTCATAAACATTGACAAAAAATATATATAAATAAAAAAAGAAAAAAAGGAAAAGAAGAGGCAAGTCTTATGATCTTTATGGACAAAACTAACAAAATTAAAATTTTGAAAAACAAAAGTGATACAAAACACCGGTTAAACTTATTTCTCATCTAATTGGATCAACTGGACTCAAATTAAAAATTTTAAAAAAGAAATTGATAAAATTAAAATGTAAAATTCAAATTAATACAAAAAAGGTCGAGCTGAAGATATACTATATATTATGGACTATAAATAAATAAAAAAATAGAATAAAATAAAAGGCGTTGTTTTGAGAAGTTAGTTAAAAGTTGATTTTTTGATTTTTTTTTTGAAAAAATGTATAAAAAAATAAAGAAGTGATGTGACCTAAAATATGTTAAAAGCTAAAAAACAACTTTTATTTTGTTCCCAAAAGAGGCCAAGCAATCAATTAGGCTAGTCTAATTAGCCACTCATTTCAATTGAGAAGTTAAGAGGTTGATTCTTACTAAATGTATAAGAATTAAAAAAATTTCTCACAGGGTCCTTGTATTATGCAGCGCATGTAATATTCTCCTAGGAATTAATAATAAAAAAAAATAATAAAAAAAGTGGTACTATTTAATGGATGTAATATTCTCCTACCAACCAATTGATAAAAGAAATAATTAAAGGGCAAAGTGAGACAAACAGGAAAGAGTAACGGTCAAGATTCTAAAAATTTTATCAAATTCTTTATCAAATATGGGAACCACACGGATATAATATTGTAAAGATATAATATTGTACAACACATTTTTCAACTGTGGTATTTTATCAGTCAAATAAATAACTCAACAAAGCGTTTCATAATTATGAAAAGGGAAATGATAGAGAGCTCTAAATATAGAGCTCTAATTTGAAAACTAATGATGTGTCAAAGCAAAAAAAAAAAAAAAAAAAAAAAAAAAAAAGGCACAAACATCACATCAGGATGTGACCCACCTTCTCATTAGAGCTATTAGAGCTCCTATATTAGAGCTCTAAAGCATTTTTGTTATGAAAAATGACACTAGTTTTTTTTTTTAAATTGTTTTAATTTTAATTTTAATTTTATTTTTACATGGGCCTATTTTAAATATTCCTAGAAAGTAAAATATTTGTCAAAAAAATGAAAAAGTTTTACTAAAAACAACAAAAAATGCATTTTTATTTTGTTTACAATAATCTTGTTTCAAATTTTTTCACAAATATTTTACTGTCCAAAAGTACTAAAGTTATATGCACAAAATTAATGTTTCAAATGTTTCATATTGGGCACAAATTCTCAAAGGACTCTAGTTCCCTAGATCTGAATTTTTGAATGCGCCTCGTGGTACCAGAGCTTCATGGGCTTGGTCTAGCTTATTAAAAGGCCGTTCTTTTGAAAGGCACTCGATGGCAGGTCCATAATGGCAAATCTAATCTTTTTTGGGAAGATAGATGGATCCCAACTACTAGCAACTTCATGATTCCATATTAATATTGTTGCTAATGCAATTGATTCAGTCCACAAGCAGTGGAAGTTGGAATCTCTCCAAGATTCTATATCCAAGGATATCATCAATGCAATCAAGACTATCCCTATATCAGCTGAAGGTAAAGATGATATTTTGGTTTGGCATCCACACAAGTCTGGTCTCTACTCTGTTAAATCTGGATATGCTTTAGCTTGTGCCTCCCATGCCAGTACCCCTAGTGATCTGGCCTCCACTTCGTTCCAAACTCCCCTCCATCTCTGGAAGCATATCTGGAATCTTGATCTTCCCCCAAAGATGCGTCATTTTTGGTGGAGAGCATGCAAAAATTTGTTACCTACTAAAACAAATTTGTTCAATCGAAGGTGCTCTCCCTCTGTAGTGTGCCCGGTGTGTTTGCAAGAATTAGAAACTGTGGAGCATATGTTATTTGACTGTGCGTGGACGAAAGCAGTATGGTTTGAAAGCTGGTTAAGTCTTCGTTTTGATCAAGGCTCCGCACCAAATGTGGCGCAATGAACTGTTAATTGGGAGGGAACAAAGGTTTCTGCAGAATCTGGCCAAGCCTTTCTGAGTGGGGTAGTTATGATTGGCTGGTTCATTTGGAAGGCTAGAAATGACCATGTCTTCAACCACTCCCCTGTTGATCGCAGGGACACTCTCTGGAAAATTGTCGATGCATGGTTAGAACTTCAAAACCAGGTGAGTGGAGATGATGGCTCACACACAGCTCCTGCAACACATTCTGATGATGAGACAGATGGATGGCAACCACCTCCCCCGAGTGGTTTCAAATTTAATTGTGATGCAACTTTCAGCAAAGCAACTGTAAAAGCTTCTATTGCTGCTATTCTGAGAGATTCTAAGGGACGTCTTCTTGATGGACAAGTTTCCTCTCTCCTCTCTAGTTCTGCCCAACAGGCCGGAGCATAAGCTATGAACTTAGCATGTTTTTTGGCCAAAAATCATAACCTCTCATCCGTTGAAATTGAGAGTGATAACTAGACTATTGTTAAGCTTTGTGTTGGTGATAATTACAAATAAAATATCAGAAAATACAAATAATAAAAATTACAATAATTATTGTAATGGCTAAGGCGCCGGAAATTCCATTGCAAGAAAAGTAAGAATTAACGGCGTTGATTTGACGGCGTTTAAAAAAACGCCTCTGTTTCTAATTTTTTACGGCGTTTTTTTAAACGTCGCATTCTTATTGACTAATACGACACCGTTTTAACTTCCGAAAGCGCCTTCAAATGTTTTTCACTTTTTTTTTTTTAACGTGAATAGCCTATTCTCTCTCTCTCTCGCTCGCTCTCACTATACCCTTGATTTCACTCTCTCTTGGTTCAAACCCTTTCGTTTCTCTCGATTCAAGCCCCTTCATTTATTAATCGATTAATCTGCAACCTTTCTCTTCAAGTATTCGATTCACCCCTTCGTTTATTCAATTTAAGTATTCGTAGATCGTCGATTCGCAGATCATAATGTGCCATCTCAAGTTCGTGTTCGAGTTCGCAGGTCTTTCTTCATGATAAGTGTTGATCAGTCCCGTCTCTATCTTCTCACATTCAAGTTCGATTGAAGATGATACTTACTGAAATCATTCGATTCAGGTATGCTAGGTTTTGTCTACTTTATCATTCTTAGATCAGATTGATTGAAGATCTGTTGATCGATTGAAGGTGATTTCAAAGTTCAACCTTCTTCAGCTCGATGATTCAATCTCAGATTCATTCGGCGATTTCGAAGTTCTCTCTCGATTTCAAAGCTCGGTGATTCAATCTCAGATTCGTCCGGCGAGGAGAGTGAGCACCATCATCTACCAAGGTGAGCACCATCGCTTCAGAAAATCTCAAGCTTTATATATCTCTCTCTCTCTCTCTCTCTCTCTCTCTCTCCCTCAAGTTCTTCCTTCCCGTCGATTCTTCTCCTAGGGTTTTCAATTAATGTTTTGAAGAATTTTAATCTCTGTTTTTTATTATTCAGTTTGGATTGATCAATCAGTGTTTTACACATCTCATTTATTTTCCCCAGATCTCCAGAACTGATTTTTCAACCAGTGTTTTTTATTTTTTACTCTCTGTTTTTTTGTTACCCTGTTTTAAACCCTAAATTACCCTGGTTCAAAATGACCTGTTAGATTTGGATACTATTGAACTAACAATATGTCTGTTTTCCAAGAATATTGTATTTTACTATTGAGCTCTTGTTGTCCTACCCAGATATTTGGCAGTGTGGGCATTGCTTGTCTGCTATTGGGACTTATCTTTTCATTCTTTCGGTGTCCAAAAGCTGTTATCATTCGTTCACAGTATATTAAGGTACCTTTTGCATTGTGCTTTATGTATCCATATGAAATTACCTACTTCTGCCTTCTGTATCAACGTAATGGTTATTTGCATGTTCAAGTTGATTATAGGCAATTGACTCGATAATTTGTATGAAGCAACTGAACTAGGTAAGAAGGCAAGAGAATTGAAGAAAGCAGCTAATGCGCTTCGTCGGGAGGAAAAGAGTGGCTCAAAGGGAAGAAAGTGGCGTAAAAATGTAAAGACAGTAGAAAAGGTATTAACCTTTATTAGTATTGTTAGCTGAAGGGTGCCTTGCCATGGCTAAAAGGGAAGGTGCATGGTTTAAGTCCACCCTAAGACATAGCAAGAAAATTGGTACATCTTATAATTTGGTGTACTTCAGCCCAAAGTTGGTTTTACAGATGGTGTATGGTCTAAGATACAATATGTTGAATTTGAATATCGGGTACTGACTTATTCTTAACCTTGTAGGAGCTGCTTCTTCTGGAAGAAGATGTAAAGGCTTTAGAAGAGATGTATCCTCAAGGTGAAAAGGTGATGGTTTGAAATTTTTTTAATGTGCTGACTTGCACATTTTTTCAAAAGCAGTTTTTTAGAATATGTTTTCTGAAAAAATTTCAATAAAACTAAAAACTAATTTGATGAAAGAAATGAAAAAATAAAAAACACTCATCATTTTTATATGGTTTTATCTTTTTTTGGGTGTAGAAGTAATTTTTAAAAATCTGAAAATATTATTTTTGATGTTTCTTTTTGTCAAACTAATTTCTATTTGAAAAAAGAAAAAAGAAAAAGAAGAGAGATATGATTTTGTCTCATGACTTTGCTGCTTGATTCATTCAGGCAGAGACTGCATAGGCCATGACTGTTCTTGGATACTTGGCCAAACTAGTGTTGGGGGTTTTAGGGTAAGTGCGAATTTTATGCATATCATTAATTGTGACTTTGACAAACAAAATGTTATTTTGATTTCCTTGAAACTGTCATTTTTTGGGGTCTCTGTAGAAAATTTTAGATGAAAATTGTGTTATCACACCAAAAACAAAAAAAACAAAAAAAAGAAATTTAAAAACATTTCTTATGGATAACATACGGATGATGTTTAGTTTCTAGTTATTTGTTCTGGCCTTTAATTTTAAACGCAATGTATTTGGGGATAGAGAGCTTGCTTTGATGCGTATGAAGTATTATATTTCTTATGGGGATATTATTGTTGGGTAAATATAAGATGATCTACATCTCTTTCGTATTGATTGTATTTGCTTTCTCTTTTTATTATCATATGCGTTTCTCATATACCTTACTTCACACTCCACTATTCGTTTGTTCTTGGCATTTAGTTTAGGTGTGAAAAGAGTCCAAATTCTCTCTTTGGAGCATGAACAATGAAGAAAAGTTCTATGTTCTAACTGTATGGAAATTCCTTGAAAGCTGAAGGACCTTGAAGGCTGAAAGACCTTAAAGAAAAACATTGAAATGCAATTTTGATGGCACCGTTAATACACATTAATAACATTGGCAAATCACCTAATTGGTTTATGGTTCTCTCTTAGATGATTTTGTTTGAACACTGTAGTTATTGAATTCTATAATGTATGCTAGTTTAATTCTAGTTATGACATGGAGATTTTGACACGGGTCTCTAATTTAAATTACAAAGTAACATTTTGTGCATACTGTTATAGGGGAATTGTGCATGATAACTATGTTATTTGCTATGCTTCTAGCTAATATTAGCATCAGAACTTCATGAGATATTAGAAAGCTATGTGGCTGTATTGGCTGCATTTAGTCAGGGATTTGAAAACTCGATTGTAGTGTTGTTCTTATCACAAGTGTGCCAAGGCAGTCGAGTGGTTGCGCTATTGCTCAGGACTTCAACCCATGCAGTTGTCATTTTCTTTTCTTCTTCCCTGCTTCCACAACCTGACTCTATCAGCCCATATAGTAATTAGTTGAGTTGAGAGCTCCAGAGATGGTGAAATATACAGGGAAGACTCAATGTCTGAAACATTTCCAAGAGGAAATATTAGTTTGTCTTTTCCCTGGTGAGATTTTTCAAAAAGAATATTTGGAAAATTGGGGAAAAGTTAAGTTCATCTCTTTTCTTTTTCTTAACTCAATTGTGACAATGACATAGCCGTAGGTATAACAATTTTGAGGTGTGTCTGACAAAGGTTGGGAAGAGTCCCATGAGTTTCTTAGAAGTGTTGGTGTTTCTTTGCATTCACTTATTTAAAACAATATTCTAAGCAAGGCCTACATAAGACACGTTGGCTTATCATATTGATTGGTTTAGTTTTCCTCTTTCTTTATTAGTATCTTAATTGAAATAATATAATTCTAAGAAGCATGGACATGTCTAAGAAGGTGCACGTTCGTGTTTGACATGTATTTGACACACATTCATTGGACACTTCCTAACATGTGTTAGACACATAGGAAACGCATTATAAGTCTAAACAAACAACTTAGAGGATACAATGATAAAAGAAAAGCAACGTAATTTATATCTATTAATCCCTTATCCTTTAAACATTAGGAATTAATATTATGTTGTATTTTATTATCTTTGAATGAAATATTGGTATATATGACATATAATAAATATCTATAAACTTGTATACTTGTGTGCATCTCCTACATGTGGTGCCCTGCATTTTTCTAAAATTGATGTGTTGGTGTGTTTGTATCGTGTCACATGTCCATATTCGTGTATGTGCTTCTTATATAAAATTCTTCCTTGCCAGGACCCTTTTAAGATTTATATGCACGACATGTGACTATAGTTGCTCATCATGTTTCGGGTTAGTTTTAGTTAGTGCCAAGCCCAAAACCAAAATGGCCAAATTTAGTTCTTAAAAAATGAAATCATGTTCAAATTGATTATGATATGATCACATGATCAAAACTTAAATCACGTTCAAAATGAAGTTGAGATCAGGTTGGTTGGGGTTGGTTCTCTTAATTGAGAAGGATTTTGTAGAAACTGCAGTTGTGTCTCTCAATACTATAATCCAAAATTAATTATAGATATAGAGAATCCTTCATCCTCATTAGCTAAAGTGAGCATAATTTGTAATTGTTTCTCATGATTTACATAGCTGCTTTGATTTTTTGCCCAAATATTTACACCGAAACCATCCAAAATGAGCAACAGAAACCAAACCCTTCAAATAAATAAATAAATTTGAAATAGATCATATTATATTATCAAAGAACAAGGAGAAAAACTAGGACAACTAGGAAACTAAATAAATTAGTAAATAAAAAAAAAAAAAGAACGAAAGGGGAGAGGGAGTTGAAGAGGATAGAAATAAGAGAAAAGAAGACGCTAAATAAATTAAAATGAAAACTCCTTGTTTGGTTGTTGGAAGAAGGTCTGCTCCCAGTACTTTATAATCGTTTTTTTTTTATTGTCTAGCATTGTTTGCATTCAATTTTTAAAAACGTCTTGTTGGTTGTGATTTGTGAGTCATTATTTCATTTTTGTTTTACGTTTGAGCAAAAACCTTGACATAGAGGATCAAATGTGATGGCACAAGCATGAATATCCTCATAAATCAGCCTTCAAGTTATTATTAGTTACACATGAGATATACCATTTATTTGGTACATATGAGTAGTGGAATTATATTTGGTAATCTTCTGAACTATGTGAAATGATACTCATGGTTCCTCTGCTTGAATTAGGTTAGGGCTGCTTGCAAGTCCTTGCCCTTGACATTGTACCTTTACTTTTGTTAAGTTTTGACCCTGAACTATTTAAATAGCTATTAAACTTCTTTGATTGTTCTATTCTTACTGTTATACAGGAGAAGGAACAGTCTGCTCTTCGTGCACAGAGCAGCTCTGTTAGAAGCAGCAAAAGCCAAGCTAAGATTACTGAAGAAAGCGTGCCGAAGACTGTGAAGTTCCAACCCTTCATCCAAGAAGAAGCCTTAGTTAGTACACACAATGTATGTATAATTGTTTTGCACTATCCTTGAGTATTTAATTTCTTCACGTTTCGTGTTAATATTATCTATGTTAATTCCCCTCAGGATGTTTTCCCAAGTACAGCAGAGCAATTCTTTGACCTATTGTTGAATGATGACTCAAATTTTATAAATGAGTATCGTTCAGTCCGAAAGGACACTAACCTTACTGTAAGTACCAAGATTTTATGTTGATAATGTTTATTTGTCTTCTGAAATTTTATGTTTTCGATTGGCTAAATAGTTTTCGCATGATGATCAATTTGAGAAGTTTTCAATCTTCAGCTTGGGTAATGATTCTTCGTTAAATTTAGGTAGATGTCGGCATCAACAGGCAGCGATGATTCTTCTTTTTATGTTGTAATACTTAAAAACTTCTATTAGATAACACTTGTATTCATGTTGAATTGCAGGAAACTGAGGAGATGATTGCAAATGTTCTTGGGGTAGAAGTTTTTAGGCAGACAATTGCTGGTAACATTCTTGTGGGCAGCTATTGTGCCTTCTCCAATAAAGGTGGCCTGGTAAGAAATTATATCCTGCATCTGTGGCAGTCTTATCAAACATCAGGTACCAAAATTTTATCTTCTTTTGTTGTCCCCTTTCTAATGGAAATTGTGTTGGAGCAGGTCCATCCTTATACATCCATTGAAGACTTGGATGAACTTTCAACCCTCCTTCAGGTCCCTTTGGTGGCAGGGACTGTGAACCGTGGTAGTGAAGCGATAGCCACTGGCTTGACAGTTAACGACTGGACAGTGTTCTGTGGATCAAATACTACAGCAACAGAATTGTCAGTCATTGAGAGTGTCTTCAAGTTGCGAGATGGTGATGTGGGAATTTCAAGAGATGGCTATAGGTGGCGCAAGTATGGACAAAAAATGGTAAAGGGAAATCCTCATCCCAGGTGTGTGCCTATCTTTCAGTTTAACCTTTTCTCTAAGTCCTTTATTTCCATTTACTCTGCAACATTTTGTGTATTCATCATGTCATAAATTACTGTAGTTTTGATATGTGAACAGGGTCAAGCTTCAGAATGGGCGCTGCTGAGACGTCATTCATCTGAAGAATTGTTTGGGGTTCAGATATGTGGGGCATATCCTGACACAGTTGCACGGATAGTTGAACTTATAGATCAGGAATATATAGTGGACTTCATCGATATCAATATGGGGTGCCCAATTGATATTGTTGTTAACAAAGGTGCTGGATCAGCTCTTCTTACAAAACCAACGCGTATGAAAAGCATTCTACAAGCAGCTTTTGGTACAATTGATAAACCTATTACTGTCAAGGTACTGAGTAACATTTCATATAATTTTAACTTCTGTTTAATGCCTAATAAAATGGTAAACTTTTTAAAAAGAAAAGTCTCAAGTGAAGATCCATCAGTTTATGTTGTTTTCAGATGATATAGTTTTATTGTTTTAGTTAATGGGACTATAGGAGTGAACTTTAAGCTAGAAATTGTGGAGAGAGAATTTAGAATCTAAATGTTCTAGGTTACGCAAGGCTTCAGACAAAATATGTAGTGTAATTTTAGCAAAAGTAGAAATAGAAATGGAAATAGAGTAAAACTTGTTGGCTCCTAGATACATAAGAATGACCATTCCAATATTTGGATTCATTATGCATAAAGAAAGAGACGTTAAGAAGGATGTAGCCCATAGAACTAGAGCAAGATGGATGAAACTTCATTTGTTCTTTTCCTGATTGTGATTGAGTTTGTCTGAGACTGATATGCATTATGTTGTTTGTTGTTACTCTAGGTACGAACAGGTTATCTGGAGGGGAAAAACCGCATTGATTTGTTAATTGAAGATATTGGAAAATGGGGAGCCAATGCAGTAACGATACATGGGCGATCACGTCAGCAACGCTATAGCAAGCTTGCTAATTGGGAATACATTACTAGTGTGCAAGAAAGGCTCCCGATGCTTTGCAAGTCCTGGGGAATGGTGATGTCTTTACATATTTAGACTAGAACAGGCACAAGTCTGATTGCCCTGACCTTTCTACATGCATGATTGCTTGTGGAGCATTAATTAAGGTTTGCATTTGGATCTTTGGCTTGCTTTGATTTGTTTTATTATGCTGCAATTTATATCCACATAATATGTTTGTGTATTTTTAAACACTACTGTTTGAATTCTCTGGCTTTTGTAAAACATGAATATTATATTATGTTCTTTGCAGCCTTGGATATTTACTGAAATCAAGGAGCAGAGGCACTGGGACATAAGTTCTGGGTAACGTTAAATATTTTGAAGGAGTACGTTCGCTTTGGACTAGATCATTGGGGTTCTGATGCTAAAGGAATATGATGAAGTTTTTTTTATTTGTTCTTGTTCTTTTACCTTTTTCCCCCCTCTAATTCTTTTTATCTTGTTTAATTGGATTATAGTGTACTGTATGGTTCCAAATGTATCATCTGTTGCATATAGTTTAGGCTCATCTTTGGATATAGTTGGAAGACAAGTGGTATTTTTAATATTATAAGTCATATTAGTGTGATTTCTATTCCTTTTTAATTTTTTTGGGCTTCTTGACCATTTTGATTTTAATTGATGTATTTAAAGTCTGAATTGTTGCTATTCTTAGGTATGCAATGCATTGTTTCTTATTTTTAATTTTGTTTTCAAGCTTAGTTTATTTATTATTTTAATAAACATCAATTATTAGTTCTTAATAATTGTTTGACAGGTATTTTTTTTGTTCAACCATATAAAATTAACAAAATTAAAAAATTAAAAAAAAAGGCTATGGCGGCGTTTAAACAACGTCACTATATCCCACCCCAACGGCTAGATATTTAAAATGTATAAATATCTATGACGGCGTTTTCAAAAACGTCGCTAAATGTCATAGTGACGTCATTGAACAGTTTAGGTAGGACATTTGGTGGCGTTTTTAAAAACGCCGCCTATACTAATATAACGAAGTTTTTCAAACGTCATAAAGTTATAGCGACGGTCGCGTCATCGACGTTTGGTACTAAACGTTACAAAAAGAATTAGTGACGTTTTTAGTACTTTTAGCGGCGTTTAGTGGATTTTCCAGTAGTGTTTGCTTTCTTTAAGGAGATTCAAGCCCTCTACGGTTAGGCAAAGCCTCACACCGGTGCAGTAGAAAAAACCTTGACTTGTCCTTCCCAGGATACAACAGCTCGACTAAGTCATATGGTTCACCAATACTGCACAATTGGTTGAACCCAAAGCTTTATCACATACACCCTTTTTTATTTGCCTGATAATCTCACACAAAACATAATAAAGCAATAAAAACTTCTTCTTTCCTCTAAGATAAGAAGTTAGATCAATTTATAGAAGATGAAACTTGTTAGACAAGTGACTTGGAGGAGAAGACACTTAGTGGATAAGAATAAGAAAGGAAATTGGTAAGCAATTTCTTTGGAAGACTTGTCTTGGTAACTTGGTGGGCAAGTTTTCTTGGAGGAAAAGAAAGGATTAACAAGTTATTTGAAGCCCAATCACATAAATATAATCTATAACACATTATAATATTAAAATATCTGCTAACATTCCCCCACCTATTTTAATATTATAGGTAACAAAAATTGAGATTATTAGGTAAATAAGGATATTATGCATCATAGTAGGTGTGCTCTGCATTGAACCTCCATTAGTGAAACAATAATATCTACTCTGGAGCCAATAGCATGCTTAGCTTTGAACTATGACTGCTTAAGGGAAATAAATAATTATTGCACACACATAATATTCCAGGTGTTTATATAAGCTTTAAGAGCCAGCACATTACGGTCTTGTGCGATCCTAGGATTCATGAGTGTGTTTGAGAATTAGCCCAAATCTCATAGATAGCGGCCCCACTACCACACTCACATAGGTGAATTCTGTCAAGGATGCTCCTGTAACTATGACACCTCACTCAATAAGAGTTACAGAAATTCATTAAGAGTTTTTTTAATAGCTCAACCTCTACAACGTTACAGGATAAATGCACTTACATTATAGAGATGGGTAAAAAGTAACTTAGTGCCTTTCTCACGGCCATCATATGATTGTTTTTCTCATTGAACCCAATTACAGGATCTCTGGTCCCCGGGTTGAGTATCCTCATATATGACTCCTGCTATATTCAATGGGCTTCAACCCCATTCTCTTCGATGTATTCCAAACTCTATCTCTTGTTAAGGCCTTAGCTAATGGATCTGCAAGATTATCACCAGATTTAATATAATCCACATTTATGATGTCATTATTCAGATAAGATCTCACAGTACTGTGTTTTCTTCTGATAGGTTTGGATTTACCGTTATAATAACAGTTATTAACTCGACCAATTGCTGCGGTGCTATCACAATGAATCAATATAGGTGGAATCGATTTTTCCCAACAAGAGATTTCATTTAACAAATCTCTCAACCAATTTGCTTCTTCACTAGCTGTAGCTAAAGCAATAAGCTCAGCCTCCATTTTTGAATTAGCAATAATGGTTTGTTTTTTCGATTTCCAACTTATAGCACTACCTCCTAATGTAAATAAGTAACCAATGGTTGATAATGAATCGCCTGACAAGGTACTCCAATCTGCATCACTATAACCTTCAAGTACTGCAGAATACTTATTATAAAACAAGCCATATTTTATGGTACCAGATAAATATTTCATAATACGCTCAATGGCTAGCCAGTGATCACAACCAGACTTTCTAGTAAATCTGCTAAGTACTCCAACTGCATAGGCAATGTCAGGTCTAGTATAGTCAGTCGCATAATGCAAGTTATCAATCATACTAGCATATTCCTTTTGATTAATTATATCCTCATCATTTTCAATAGGAAATAAGCATACATGAGGATCAAAAGGAGTAAGAACATGCTTGCACTTATGAAAATTATATTTTCTCAAAATTTTCTCAACATAATGCGACTGATTAAGAAATACACCATCACAGGTTTTGGTAATTTTCATTCCCAAGATATAATTAGCCTCACCAAGATCTTTCATATCAAAATGGCTACTAAGCATATTTTTAGTTTCCATGATGATAAGCAAATTAGAGTCAAATATAAGTAAATCATCCACATAGAGGTTAATAATGACATCTGAATTTTCTTCAGATTTATAGTAGATACATTTATCACATTCATTTGTTTTATAGCCATTCTCAATCATGCAGGAATCAAATTTCTCATGCCACAGTTTAGGGGTCTGTTTTAAGCCATATAGAGATTTAACTAGCTTGCACACTTTACTTTCTTGACTAGGTTCCACAAAACCTTCTGGTTGATCCATATAGATTTCTTCACCCAAGTCTCCATTTAAAAAGGTTGTTTTAACATTCATTTGATGAATTTTTAGATCATGAATTGCAGCCACTGCAATTAATAATCTAATGGATGTAACTCTAGTAACCGGAGAAAATGTATCAAAAAAGTCAAGATATGCTTATTGTTTAAAACCTTTTGCAACAAGCCTTACTTTATATTTATCAATAGTTCCATCTGGTTTAAGTTTTTTTCTCAAAACCCATTTACAGCCCATAATTTTACAACCTGATAGTAACTCTACTAATACCCAAGTTTTATTGGATAACAATGATTCCATCTCATCATTTACAACCTCGTTCTAAAAAACAGAGTCAGGAGATGCCAAAGCTTCTTGTAAAGTTAATGGAGTTTCCTCCACATTAAAAACATGATAATCAGGCCCAAAATATTTTTCTAATTTGGCTCTTTTACTCATTCTAGGTCCAAAAACTACAGTATCTGGTTTTGCAAAAGAGGAGTAGAGGAACTGGTTTCAGATAAAATATTTTCTTGATAATTTTGACCCCCACCATTTTTAGATTTAAAAGGAAACTTTTCTTCATGAAAAATTGCATCCCCTGATTCAAAAATTATTTTGTTTTCAATATCAAAAAATCTATAGGCTATACTATTTGTTGCATATCTAAGAAATGCACAAGTGGCAGCTTTCACACCTAATTTAGGTCTTTTAGGGTCCACAAGTCTAACAAAAGCTAGACAACCCCAAACCCTCAAATATCTCAAATTTGGCTTATGCCCTTTCCACAATTCAAAAGGTGTAACTTTTATTTTTTTATGTGGCACTCTATTCATAACATAACATGCAGTTAAAATTGCTTCTCCATACAAATTTGAAGGAGCACCTGCTTCAATTAGCATAGCATTTGTTAAATCAGTTAAAGTTGTATTTTTTCTTTTTGCTACACCATTAGATGTAGGTGAATATGGTGGAGCAGTTTCATGGATTATTCCCAAAGATTGAGCAAACGAGTTGAATACAAAAGATTCATACTCCCGGCCTCTATCACTTCTATATCTTTTAATCTTTTTACCGAATTGATTTTCAACTTCAAGAAGGAATTCTTTAAATTTTTCAAAAGCATCACTTTTATTTTTCAACAAGTATACATAAGTGTATTTTGAAAATCATCAATAAAAGTGATAAAATATCTATTTCCACCACGTGTTAAAATTCCTTCAAATTCACATAAATCAGTGTGAATTAATTTAACAATTCAATATTTCTCGCCACACTTTCATGAGGCCTTTTAGTTATTTTTGCTTGACTGCAAACTTCACATTTCTCAAACTTATTTGTTAGTCTGGGAATTAATCCTAAACTACTCATGACTCCCACATATCGGCTATTAATATGACATAGACGAGCATGCCAAAAATTTATAGAAGACAGCAGCATGTAAACAGAAATATGTGTTTTCTTATTCTCAACATTTAATTTAAACATTTCATCACAGGCATACCATTTTTCCACAAATATGCCCTTTTTAATGATTACATATTGGTCAGATTTTGAAACCAGCTTTGTTGAGCAAATAACTTGACATCAAATTTTTTCTCATGGACGGTGTATACAACACATCTTTTAAAACAAGCACACATCCAGAGGTAAATTTTAGCTCAACATCCCCACACTCGAGCACCTTGGTTAAACTGGAGTCACCAAGCATAACAGTCCTCTCCTCGTTAAAAGGAGTAAAATCTTTGAACCAATCTTTTTCATAGCAGACATGCCTATTGGCACTAGAGTCTGCCAACCACCCTTCCACAGATTAAACCATAAAAATATCTGTAATCATAGCCACAAATGGTTCCTCAGTAACATTAGCCTGTGGTCGAGACTGTTGTTTCCGAAATTTGCAAGTTCGAGCAAAATGCCCACTTTTGCCACACACAAAACATGTCACATTTGTCAGATCTTGTGAAGGGGGTTCTTGGTTCCATTTCTTTTGCCTCAGGTAATTTTTATTTTGCGGCCTTCCAACATTTTTTCAAATTTTCTTAACTGGTTTCAAGTGACTATTTTTATGAACTAGACCTTTAGGTAAAGTATTTCTCGAAGTTAAATTTACCTTTGCAGTGGAATGTTCTTGTCTCATAAGCGCATCTTGTCCTCGTGCTTCCTCCTCCACCCGAATCCTTGTGATTAGAGTCTCCAAGGACATCTCTTTTTGCTTGTGACGCATTGACTTCTGAAACTCCCTCCAAGATGAGGTAGTT